CCAAAAGTATCTCTACGTACAAATTTGATGGGACAGTACAAGGCGGCCGATTCGCTTATAGACTAATCTGTACGTTAACTAGATATAGTTAACTGATCAAAAGCTTCTCTTATTAAATTCAGTAATAAAATCATTGAAAAGTATATCATTCACAGCTGAAGCTTTTATATTTATCTCGTTATTATTCTTCATACTCATCAATGTATTCTCTATTGCACTGTCATTACCATTATTCATCGTATTCAAATTATCGTCTTTGAGAATATCAGTGAGCTTCTTCTTTTTTATCTTATAGAATCACTCTATTCAGACAGGGTTTCAGTAGAGTAGTTATATAAAATAAATGATTGAAGATGGGTCTTATAATAATAATATAGAAAAGTTGTTCTATATTTACAGTTGAGTCTGAAATAGAAAGCTCTGAGCCTTTGGAACGGCGAAACTGTGCTGCGAGGAGTGAAAAGACTTGGGCTTCCCGGTTTCGGATTTCGTGAGAAGTTGATTATTGATAAGAAGGGCAATGGGGGGAAAGCAAGGGCAAGGGACTTGAACTTGCGGGCTATTGTCCACGCTTGTAGATGGAGGGACAACTACTCATCGAATCAGCCAAAAAAAAAAAAAAAAAAAAAAAAAAAAAAAAAAAAAAGCCTCCATTTTTTTCAACATATGTTTTGTTTTGTTTCCTGCGGGATGTGGTCGACCTCTCCCTTGAAAGCTGAAACAAGGATAAGAAGACATAATTTATGAATTATGACAGGTGAAGTCCCAAACCCCATTTGAAGGCTTTATTCTCCCCGGAGCCGCTGCCAGGGGCCAAATCAAACAAGCATCAACCTGGTTGGCAATTTTGTTTCGCTTTTGAATCAGACATGGATGGAACGACCTTGTGCCAACTCCCGGCAGTAACTTGGTAATAATAAGAAGAATTAACTATCCCCTCGTCTGGGGGCGAGGCAACAATTAGCGTATTTTTCTGCCAACCCCAATTCATGACTGTACTGGCTGGAAGCAGATAATTCAGCTTGCCTATTGGCCATACAAAGTCGGTCAGGCACGACGCTAATAGTTGCCTCGCCCCCAGACGAGGAGATAGATTTATGTAGAAAGAATAAGCATAATAAACCTGGAACTAGAAGGAAGAAAGAATGGAAAACAAAGTAAATCTGCATTAAGGCGGGGCTAAATTAAAGTTTCTGCTAGTGTGTTTCTGGAACAGTTTCGCAGGTATTACTTGATTAGGTATCAACGAGAGAAGAAAAGAACATTGGGGATAAGAAACATCGAACGAAACATAGGTTACATGGGGTGTGCTGTGTATCGGAGACAGGAGCTCCTATGGTGGTATTAAGATTCTGACAGAGTTTAGGCAAAACGCATCTGAAGGGAGGGGGTGTGACTGCTACGTCAGGTTGGCCCTTTTTTGTTTTTTATATATTCTTGGTTTGTGACAATAGGGTTTCATGTCGCGGGGGTTGCGGTGGGGGCCGGAAAAGTACAGAGTATGAAGAATGCTCATCAGGGTTGGCTACTACCCCTTGGCATGGTGGGCCTGGCGGCTGACATTTGGAGTATTCAGTAGGGCCGGAACATGAAATAATAGTGTTGTGCCATGGTGCATGTATGATTGATTTAAGGGAGAATGAGGGCAGACGTTCGTCCGAACGGGGGACCCTTGTTGTGGCCGTTATCATATACCCGCAAATGCCAGGCGAAAGGGACATCGAAAAATATTCTTGCAGTGGTGGGATACTACTACAGTGTACAGAGTACGGAGTAGTTGTTGATCAAATTCCACAAAATTGTGGCGGAGAACCTTGCTCTCAACGTAGAAATTCCAAAGGCATTTTAAAACCGGAAGTCCTCTCTCACGTAAATCCCGGTATCGAACGGTGCCTTTG